TTGACCTACTAATCTTTATCTATAAACTTAGTAGGTTTTCTATGTGTATTGTTTGCTAATTAGTACTTTTCTGTCCTTTTCTTCTTTTCCCTTTTGTAGTGCCAGGGATTAAACCTAATGCCTTGTAAAGGTAAGTAAGACCTCTACCACTGAACTATATCCCCAGCCCTTTTTCACTTGAGGCAGGGCCTTATTAAGTTGTTCAGGCTGGCTTTGTACTCCCTTTGTAGTCTAGGAATGACCTGAATTGGCACTCCTCCTGCCTCAAACCTTACCTTCCCACCAAACAATCAGGATCTTTTCTTTTTTTCTTTAGACAGGTTCTATTTAGCTCTGGCTGACCTAGAACTCCCTATGTAGACCAGGCTGGCCTTGAACTCAGAGATCTGCCTCTCTCTGCCTTCCAACTGCTGGAATTAAAAGCATGTGCCACCACACCTGACCCAACATCCTTCTTTTCTTAACTTTTGAACCTTTTCTTGTTTTGGGACATGAGCTAGTAACTTAAAGATGACACTGACCATGTTATCTTTTTGTTACACCTAGTTGTGGGGACACCCTTTGGGGACACATTTTACTAACAAGTGTACTGTTTGGTATGTACTATGTTGGAAATACCCTTTTCCACAATGAAAACAGTTCCTTTTCTCCCTGTAATTTGCTAATGAATTTTATATGCATAGATACTGCAATTCATCAAATGCTTTATTAAATTTGAGATGAACTCTCTCTCTTACAGAAATACTGTAATTTATGCCAATCTATTTCTGAATTTAAACAAGCCTTGCACGTATGGGATAAATCTACGTAGATCACTATATTATGTTTTGTTTCTTACAGGGGTTCTAACAGTACTGTTAAGGGTATCTCAATGTATTCAAATTTTATTATGAACTTTTCTTCTTAAATCATAGGCAATGACTTCTATTAAATGTCTTCTTTTTATGATTTATCTATTATATACTTTATTGTGGCTTTCTTTAATTTGGGTATCAATCTTTAAATATTAAGATTTTGGGTGTCAAAAAGAAAAAAAAGATTTTGGGTCTCAGGATGAACTATATTTAGAGTGTAATGTCATGCTAACATTACTGGATTTGGCACTTTATTTAGGATTTTTAGACTGACATGTAAGAGGTAAGTTGTTGTTTTTCTTGACTTGCTCTTTACCTACCTGTGGCCTCAATTTTCATCAATCAAATATCCCCTTAATTTTCTCTTCTCTAAAGACGCACATATACATTGTAGTAAGTATGCCTTGACAGAGTGGCAAAATTGCACATAAAATTATTTATATGATCTTCTGGGCTAGTGTCAGAAGATTCTTTTGAAAATTACTTTTTATAGTTTTAGGATGGGGCTGATGAGATGGTTCAGTGGGTAGAGGCACTTGCTATCAAGGCTGATGACTTGAGTTCAACCCCCAGAAACCACATGGAAGGAAAGAACCAACTCCTGCCAAGTTGTTCCCTGTCTTCCTCATGTGTGAAGTGGCATGCATGTGTACCCACCTGCCCTTCTCCTCCTCCTCCCAAATAAATGTAAAAATGCTGACATTTTTCCTGGGAATTCTTCTATTATTCACACTTCAAAGTTGCTGGTTATAAAGGCACTGATACTCTTTTAAAGTTTATTTTTAATATTTTATTTATTATTGTTACTTTATGTGTCTGAGTATATTGCCTGTGTGTTTGTAAGTGTACCTGTGCCATGCAAATCCCATGGGAGCCAGAAGAGGGCATCAGATCTCCTAGAACTGGAGTTATGGATGGTTGTCAGCTGCCATGTGGGTTCTGGGATTCAAACCTAGGTCCTCTGCAAGAACAGCCAGTGTTCTTAACCACGGAGCCATCTCTCCAGCTCCCTTAAAATCTATTTTAAATATCAGCTACAACTGCAGCTTTGTCCAATTTACCTGTGCCTCTTAGTTTTTTCCAGATTATACCTTTCAAATTTTATTTATTTAATTAATTTCTTTCAAAAGACTAGCTAGCTGTATTGATGCTCTGTTTTATCTTTATAATCTTTTGTTATTTTTAAATAAATTGCTTTAAGTGTTAAATGGTTTAATCATCTATTTTAAACCTTCACACAGAAAATGTAAGATTCTCTTCTGTGTGCCTTAGTCTTCAACATTATGACATGAAATCTATCTGTGCTTACTCATCTGTCTTTTGTTATCACTGCTGTTTGGTGCTCTTGACTGCACGAACATTCCACACTTAGTTATTTTTTTTTCCTTTTTGTTTTTTAATTAAATTTTGAGACAAGGCTTCACTATGTAGCCCAGGCTAGCCATGAACTCACAATTCCTGAGTCAGTCTCATGAGTGCTGGGGTTGCAGGTATGCATCACCAGGTAGACCTCAATTCTACTATTAACAAAGTTCATTTTTGTATGTGTTATACTACACAGTTTTCTCTTGTTAACAGAAGCACTATTATCAGGATTCTTTTATACTACTGTTTATATACCCAACTTACACATCTTCTAATAACTTACAAGGTTCATCCTACAAGAAACAAATATTCATGTTTTGCTTTTTTAAAAAAATATTTTATTATTTTTCTTATGTGTGTGAGTATATTGCCTGCATGTATCTGGTATCTCTGTATAATCATTTCTTTAGGGAAAAGAAGTAGGAGCATAACTGCTGGGCAGCAGGACACATGCTTTTTAATTTGAGTAATAAACCAGACTCTGTTCACAACATAGTACCCACGCTCCCCATTCCAAATAAGAGGGACTAGGAACTCCTACTTTATCCTGTGTTTGCTAAACTGAGAAACACTGGTTACGGACATTGTGCCTTTCAATATAATTGGGTCTTCTTTTAGGCTTTGAGTTTTTAAAGCTATACACATTAAGGTCTTGGGCATTTTGCTTGAACTTAATTTTGATTACTTTATACCTTTTGTTGTGCTCTAATTCCTGTTTTCATATTAAATGTCCTAGCTTGACTCAGAGACTGAGCTTACAACATACAACTAAACTGGCTTAAGCACTAAAATACTTCTGCAGGTTTTTCTGGCTTTTTTGTTTTTCTTTGGAAGCAGTTCTCTTGCTCAAGTCAAGTTACTTGGACTTTTCTCTGGAAATTCTGATTGCAATAGACCTATCAGTAAGGACTAGGCTGCATATGGCAAAGGGGGGCGACTTTCTTCTTTCTATCCCTGTTATTCTGAACCAAGGGCTGCCTGTGTATCTTGTACAGTTGTGCAAGCATATCCAGTGAGTTCTCCACCCCCTACCCCAGACTTTTCTCCTGTGGAGAAGGCATTTTCTGGTAGTCACCTGCCTTGCAGGCATGCTGGCTGTGTACTAGCACTTCTCCAGGATGCTGGTCTAGAGAACTCTTCTCGCTGTGGCTCGACTTTGTGGCCAGTGTGCTTTGCACTGAGTTCTTCTCACTCCAGCTCTTTTCAATTGAAACCCCTATACTTTTGTTAGTATTGCTATATACAGATTTATTCTTTTGAAGGCACTTCTGTCAGCTCTCTGGGACTAGGAAGGGAAATGCCTAGTATATTTTCTCAGTCTACTTCTCTTAAAGCAGAAAGTTCTCAACTGCTGTGAGTCATTTGCACTTACTGAGCATCACTCATTTTTTATCAGATTTTTTTTCCCCTGCCACTGTCTGAAATCCAAACAAAAATCCCTAAATTGGTTCATAAGTTGCACTAAACTTTCAATTGCCTACAGGAGCCAACACACACAGAATATTAAATTCCTATTTAGTGTAGCTTTGGTTAAATTTCTCAGCAACATCTGGTCATTTTCTCACCTATATCTAGTTCCTTAGGTTCATACCCACGTTTCCTCAGTGCAGTTATGATGAATGAGTTTCATTCTTCAGTGCATCCTCCACTTAACCAAAGGAGGCTGTTTTGATATTTTAATCTGAAACTGGACACTTTACTGATTTCGTAGTTTTAGTAGTAATCAGCTGACTGCCTTGAATGTCACATCTGCACATATTTATTCTTCTTTGGTTATGTAACTATTTTTATTTCTTGTCTTATTGCAAATGAAAACAGTTCCATAAAAATGGCAAATAACAATGTTATCAGCACATTTGTCTTCTTTGTACTCAAGGGGAGAATGTTTCTAACATTAAGTATTAAAATAATGTTGAATTATGTTTGGGGCATGTTTCATTTATCATGCTATATAAGTATTTTTTTATTTCTTGTTCACTAACAATTACTAGGGATTTAAATCATTGTCTGTCTTTTATTTAGTATGTTATAGATTGAAAAAAATTCTTTGATAAAGAAAGAAGAACACAAAACAAGGACATAATAAAAAACTCTGGGCACAGGGCTAGAATGGGATAAGTAGTGTGTAGTAAAGCTCTTTAGGCAAATACTAGTGTTTATATACCCAACTTACACATTTTCTAATAACTCACAAGGTTCATCCTGCAAGAAACAAATATTCATGTTTTGCTCATTTTTAAAAAAATATTTTATTATTTTATTTTATGTGTGTGAGTGTATTGCCTGCATGTATGTGAGTGCACCCGTGTCGTGCAATGCTGCAGAGGTCAGAAGAGGGCTTCCAATTCCCCCGGAACTAGAGTTAAGGGATGGTTCGTAGCCACCATGTGGGTGCTGGGAATTGAACCCAGGTCCTCTGCAAAAGCAGTCAGTGCATTCAACCGCTAAGCCATCTCTCCAGCCCCTCATGTTTTGCTCTTAAGCCATTAGAGAGGTGTTATAAAAGCAGTGAGGGGAAAAAGAAAAACCCCGGGAAATTCTAGAAAATTCAAAATCCAAAAATAGCTACTTAAAGCTATAGTAAACTAATATTTTGCTAACTGTGAAGATACTGTGCATATCAGAGGGTAAAGATTTAATTGTATCAAAAGTTTTACCAAAAGCAGGAATTCAACATTCTGTTATGGCATATGCACAAACTCATATGCCTGTGCAAGCACAACATTTAGGTTAGGATGCTATCTGGCCCATTCAAAGGCAAAGAGACGGTGAACAAAATACCTGTTTTATCTGTCAGTAAGTATACAAGGCGTCCCAGTTCCTCTGGTATCGTGCTGGTCCGAACAACCGTACCAGGAATATTCTCATCTTTCATAATCATCCATCCGTACACTGCTTTGCCCATGTCCAAGTTGACCCGCAGGCTGCCAAGTAAAACCATCATGATGGTTAATGCCTCTAGACCATTACTATGTGTTCACTGCGCATGCTTTCGTGTAAATGCTTATTCCTTAATTTTCATGGAAATAAATGATATTGGATTTCAGACTTTAAAATAAATGTTTGTGGATATTTAAGTCAACAAATGCTTTTACACCCTTTCTCAGAGTTTACAGGTGATAGCTAACTGGATAACTCCTTCACATGCGTTACAGTATAAGCTAAAAAAAGAAATAGACAAATGGTTATAAGTCTTCCATTTATGCACAGAGTACTATGGGCTTAAAAGGGAAAATGCACATGCTTAGGAAAATCAAGCAAGGATTACTGTGAACAAATATGTGAAATAGGTCTTGAAGCATCTGGGAGTAGGCTCTTGGCTTTTTAGTTATTTCAAAATATTGTATATTTCAAATCAGTATGGTTAAAATACATGAGTCATTTTACCTGAAGTACCTTTGCTATGATCCCATTTGAAATTGTGGGCCTGGAATAGATGTCCTCGAGGGCCTTCCAGACTTTAAAGGATGGTTATAGAAGAACAAACTTAAAATTGCCCACAGAGGAAGCAGGCACAGCACAGCTACTATGTATCCACCCAAACATGTTCAGCTCTCCTTAATTAATTAATATATCAAAACTCAGCAGATAGGATTGTGTAAATCATAAGGTGAAATTGCTATTAATCGACCATTTCTGACTTACCAACATAACTCACTTGGTTCAACCTATTAATAAATACACTTTGACAAGTAATATTTAGGAATCAGGACAAGTGTGTAAGTTAAAAAGCATTAAATAATCATGTTATCAATCGATCCATAAAGTTCACACCCTAAAAATCATATGAACCACACTAGGTAGAAGGAAAACTGTTAACTGGTAGTTGGTTGTGCATATCTCTCCAGCTAGCACCGTCCCATCTCCTGTTAGAAAAGAGAAGCACACTAACGATGACAACAATCTCTAAGATGAAGGGACTCAAGATGGCATTCCAGAAAGGAGCAGTGGTTGTAGTACAAGTCCACCAATGTGTGGTCTAAAGCCTAGAACCACCACACATGCAAGTTTCTAAGCCCCAGTGTTCTCATCACATCCATGTTTTATGTGCAACCTCTATGTGCTTCAGTGATCAACTAATCAGCTGATCGATTTCTGCATGGTAAGTGGCAACCAGAGGCCCCCAAAAGAAAGCTTCAAAAGTATGGGGAACATCTCTGCCAATGGTTATAAAATCATGACTATTGCCCTGGTGGGTTTAAGATGAAGGGGGGGTTTGAAGGAAAGCAAAACCATGTTTACCTGAACTCTGATTTGTGTTTTAGGAAAAATTCTTCATGAATAAGAGAAATACAGTGAAGATAATGGGCCCTTGGTTGAAATAAACACAGCCAGAAGTTTGGAGGGACTGAGCAGGCCAGGTAGCCAGTAAGGAAGACACACAGCAGGGAGACTTTACACCTGTCTAGTGTTTATAGCTCTGATCCTTTGGCTCAGAGATCTGCACATTGGAAAACCAAGACTGCGCTGAGTTCTTTTGGACTCTGATCAAGTTGTTTTGGGAAGTGTCAGCCTTCCCTGGGCTACCATTAACATGGATGAATTCCTGTCTTCAATTCATACAGTCTGCCACTAGGGACAAAGAAACTCCTTTTGGCAGGGACCAAAGAAGCTGCTTCAAAGTTCTTCTGTGTTTCTCTTCAAACCATCAATGAGTTAGGAATGTATTATTTCATGAAATACCATTATTGCAAATAATTACCACTGGAGTATTTTAGGTTGAATACAAATAGCCCTCAAAGAATGCACTGAACAGTAGCTGCTAGTGGAAAAGAGAAAGAGCATCTTTAGAGGATTAAAAATAAGTGTAATGACCATAGAACAGAAGTTCACCAGTGAAAACCACTGAGTAAAATGTATCTTTCATTAACTAAGACAATGATTCTACACAGGGAATTACAGTTCCACATGTACCACCATGCATGTTGTGAATTTTGATAAAATGGAATGAATATTTTACTTTTTAATGTTAAGAATATCTAAGATGCTCAACTTCAAACACTATGGTAACAGAATAACAACCATTACCATACTGAATTTACTTCTTAGTAATGCCCTAATTTCACAGAATTTCAAAACCTAGCCCTCTATTCAACTGAAAAACACCAAGTCGAACATGGCTTACAATCCCTAAATCACATATATCAAACAACTGTTTCAAGAAGGATTGCAGAGACACAGTATGGTTAGATACTAGTTGCAATGCAAGTTCATTCTATTGCTGATTTAGTAACTGTGAAACTGTTACCCATAGACCTGTTTCAGGTAGAAAGAGGTTATTTGTCTTTGGATGGTTAAGTGAATCAGGGCACAATTATGACTTTTATTACTATACAGTAAAAAAATGAATTGCCTCAGGTAAGTAGTTTTTCAGGGATGTTACCAATGAAAGCAAAAATGAAACTGTTTATTTTTGCAATAGCAGGAAAGGAGAGATAAATTTTAAGATGTATAATTGACTTAATGGTGATTTCTTATTGTCCAAATAGTCTAATCCTACAACTACAAGTGTCTGAGGAAGAAACTTAAGACTGAATAAATCTGAAATGCATTTTCTTAAAATACACAATACGATCCCATTTAGGCCACATTTAGGCCCCAGGATGCTCGCTATATTTAAACTCTAATTTGTTACAATTAAACCTCAGTACTTATCACTGCCAGGTGAGCCCAGTCTCTTCCACCCACCTGAGAAATACATGCAATTCTCCTCAGGGAATGAATCTACCTGAAATAATTCACATGCCAATTCTAATCTGAGCAAAATAAAATAGAAGCCATTAGTAGGATTTTTGCCAAAAGTAATCAAAATCTTTCCCTATAAAATCTAAGGTTGAATGACACTGGTTCCATTGTATCTGAAATCTTCCCACCATTTTTCATTCTGATGACATACCACAGGCAGCAGCAGATAGCACCAAACCCTTTTCCCCAGTGAACTACCTGGCGCAACATAGTAAAGATAACGTTGGCATCTCCAGGACCAGGTGAGGCCCCTCCTGGGCTTCAAACCAGGATGCTCTGTTACATGAGGGGCTTCTGACCTTAGATGGAGCAAAACACATGGAAGTGAACACGTAGACACAGGTCAATATGCCCACTTCCCCATCTTTCTTCTTAAACATGAGAAAACAAATAGGGCACTGTACATGAAAGGCCAAGTGCTCTACCATTCAACTATATTCCTAGTCCCTCCTACCCCTGCTTCGAAACGTCAATCTAGATGGTCTGGATGGCCTTGAATTCTCTTTGTAGCCCAAGTAGGCCTTGAACTTTTGACCATCCTGCCTCAGCCTTCTGAGTAGCTGGGGTGCTGGAATTACAGGCTGGTGCCACCAAAGCCTGGGCTAACAAGTCCAGCTAAAGGTATAGTCCACACTGGCCTAGAACTTGCAAACCTCCTGCTTCATCTCATTCAGCAATTTGCCTACTAGTGTATGCCAACAGGGACCACTCCTTTTCCTTTCATGTCTACATCCAAGTTACCATGAACTCCTGTCAATTTACCCTCCTAGATTCTCCTTGAAACCATTTTCTATGCATCCCCTAGGGAGGCAGGTTAACTGGACTCTATAGATTTGATACTAGTTCTGTGATCTCTGACTAAAGACAGATTTAATCTTGATCTCAGTGGTCAACCAAGGTTTCACAAAAAAAGTAGACCCTGGGCCTGCAAGATGAGTCAGTTCATAAAAGTGCTTGAAGTGCAAGCCTGATGACTTGTGTTTGATCCCAAAGACCCACACGATGGAGAGAGAACAGACTCCTATTAAGTTGTTCTGATTTCTGCATGTGCACTGTGGCATGACCCGTCCTGATAAATTAATAAGGATGAAAAAAAGAGTTTAAAACATAGTACAACCAGGGGCTTAGTAGTTATGAGCACTGGTTACTCTTTCAGAGGACCTGGGTTCAGCTCCCAGAACCCACATGGTGGCTAATAACCCTTTGTAAGTCCAGTTCCAAGGAATCTGATGCCCTCTTCTGACCTCCATGGGAATTGCATGCATGGGTGTGCTTACAAACAGGCAGGCAAAACACTCATACACATACAAATTTTTTTTTTTTAAATTTAAAATACTACCACCAAACTAAAGGGCCAATGAGGTAGCAATGACCAATGAGGTACATTTTCAAACATGAGTTACTAATTATTCCAAGCACTAAAATTCAAATCAATACAGAAAGATGAATGTGACAAGAATCAAAAATAAAGAAGACAGGCTCTTCATATGCTATTTTATGTACAACTGTCTCCCTCTAATCCGTAACACACTCCAACACACCCAGCAGACACCTGAACCTGTAAGATAGGACCAAAGTCTAGGTATGATATGTTTCTTCTGATAGGAAATACCTGATAAAGTTTAATTTATAAATTAGCTACAGTAGTTAACAATAACAAATAAAATGATAACAATATAATAAAATCAATGTGAATGTGGCCTTTTTCAAAATCTCTTATTGCACACTTAATAGTTCCAGTCCTCAACTGATCATGTTAAGTGAAACTATGTGCAAGGGGGACTGCTGATCTACGTTGCTGCATGAGAAAAAGAAATCCAAAGGCAGGCAGGTTGAGTCCTGCTCTGGCCAGTATAAGGAGGTGTCCATCCAACAATGAAAACTCTTGACTCCCTACTCCAGAGCTCTCAGCCTCAACTATGTTATGAGCTCTTGTGGATCAGGTTGATTGTGTTTTGTGTTGCTGAAACTTCTTAACACCAAGGCAGAGAACTGACTAGGACAACCCCAGAAAGACTTCAGTGGGGCTTCACCAGGCTTTAGACACATTCAGTTAGTTTCTTGGATTTCACAAACAGATTCTTGAAGCCAAGATGTCCACCACCTCGAGGAAAATACCCTCAGATGACCCCTTTATAGTCATGCCATTCTATAACCCTTCCCTCATGGAAACCGCTGA